CGTTTCATGTTTTTTTTTTTTTTTTTTACTTAAACCTTCCTCACACCAGTGTTTGGTACCCGTCCTCGTGGCATCCTGTGGCTGCATCCTGGGAGGATTATGTAAGTGTTATATGAGGATTATCTTGGCATGATGCGGGGATTATGTGAGGGTTATACAACGATTGTTTGAGGATCATATAAGGGTTGAATAGTTATATGGGGATGGGATATGTGAGGATTCCATTGAATTGGTTATTTGAACATATTTGTACTTTGGATTTCTTGGGACTGCAATTGGGCCTTAGATGCCATTCAATTCAAGGCTGCACTGGGGCCACCGGCCGCCCTGGTAGCGCGGCCAGCTGAGCAAATCCTTCAATAGCGCGCTCTAAACATCTCCAAGCTGGATTAAACTGGTTTTGAGTGAGTTTTGCAATTGCCCCAACTTGCTCACATACCCACTACCCCCTTACAAAGGATGGCCTCGCAGGACGCAGCCATGGGACGTGGTACCAAACGCTGGTGCGGGAGAGTTGTAAAACAAAGAACCTTGCAAATTTGGTGATATGGTCCAGGCCGTACTATTTTGTATTTAATTCTTCCTCTTCGGCCCTTCATCTCCTTGACTTATCTTTGTACATCTATGTGTGCAAAGCCAAAAAAATAAATGCCCTCGATTTTTTTCATATCTTGACGTGTCCCATCATGCCCCCCCCCATTGTGTGAAACATGTTGGCACTGGTGTCCCACCTTTCCCCTTGTTATAGCTGTTGTTTTAGGTGCCTGTGGCCTATGGATTGACGCCCCTCCTTCCCCCTCAGTTCTGAAAATGTTTCCATTTATAAAGGCAACACTGGTTTCCCCATAGTTTTGTTTTACATAAATGGGGGAGGTCACTGAGGGGGACTGAGAGGCGTGTTTGCGAGTGTTTAAGTGTGGGTGTGCCCAACGGTGACATGAGCTAGGCACAGCGTCTTTTTGGCCAAAAGATTGACCCTCCTGCCATGCGCCCAGTTGGAAGAAGCTGCGATCTCACAACCAAAACGCCTTGGCGAGCCCAGATCTTGAACATGGTGCTCTTTGCGATCAACGCCCTTGCCTTCAGCATTGCCGCACCATTCTGGGCAGCACTGAGCCGCCTGTGGCTTAGAAGCCTTGGCAGCCGCGCAGGCGATAGAGCAAGCGTCCTTCTCTTGTTGCAAGACTTGTCTTCACGACAGCCAGTACAGAACCTCCTTTTTCTCAGGTTACTTCCAGCCGAGGAGGATCATGGCAGTCAGCTTGCTGTGCCTCGCCCATTTAGTTCCCGTTGCGCCTGGTTGATCCTCGAAATAACACTGCTCTGCATGTGTGAGGCTTCAAGTTCCGCTTCTTCTAACTTTATGGCCAATGTACCCCAGTTTTGCAGGGGCCCAGGCTTTGTGGTATGCGGATAGAAGGACTTCCTCCAAACGCTCCTGGCAAGTGACAAAGCAAAGGAGATGGCGTGTCTACTGGTGTTCACGCACGGACTCGTTCGGACCTACAAATGCTTGTTGTAAGCAGGAATGCAACAAGCATGAATTGATTGCCATTTGCATGAGGTCACCGCTTCATCATTCCTGTTCCTCGTGTTCAATTTCATGATGTCTATCAAGGCCGCTGCAAATAGAATGCTTGTCAATGGTAGGCCGGCAACTTGAGGGCAGCTTTGTTGCTGCGCCAGTTGAGCAAGTCGTTTTCAAGATCAGCAAGGTGATCATCACCTGCAAAACTTTTGGTCCTGAGCATCGTCACGTGTAAGTGTCAAAAGCGCACCTGTTTGATCATTTTGAGGGCCTGATTTGGCTCTTCCATCGCCCCCAGAATTCGATTCAGCATAGCTTTCACGGTTCAGGCGCTGTTGCGACATGTCCACAGCTCCTATGTACCCTGCACTGTGTCCTCTGCACATTACCCCTGCAGAATCAATCAGCACGGATATCCCTCCCATCCCCCATCCCCCCAAGGCGTAAAGTTGGTTTACAGAGGAAAAGGTCAATGATAACACTTGCAGTAGATGAATACGGTAGACAGATGTTTGCTTTCGACCCGCAAAACGACCTGCACATTGTATCTCCTCTCGAAAGGAATCCCTGAAGGCACCAACCCTGCCCCCATCATGACATATTGATTCTACTGCTGTCCTCCCTATGCTTCCTTGAGTAAATTTATTTTGAAATGGATGCCACTGGATTCTGGTAGTCAAACGGCTTCCCTGACAAACTGAGGGCTCCCGGGTCACATGTATGCTTCTTGATGCTTCTTTATAGCTTGGCTGTAAACAAAGGGAACCTGGAAGACCTTGTTTATAGAGGCAGCCTCCTGACACAAAAATGACTTCAGACCCCTCATCTTACAGAGGCCGCATTTTAACTGCCAGAACACGGGCCACCCGTTTCAGAACGAGTTTTAGCTGGGGCTCACCGTTTTAAACTTCAAATTCGGGTTTCCAGGTTCCCTCAGAAAGGGAAGGGGGATCGCACCTTCCAGTGATGCGCGTAGAACATTATAGCGCATTCTATGCCAGGAGCGGATGGCGTCTCCTTGAGAATCCTCTTTCTAGAATGTTTTGCTGAATGCTGATCGCATTTTTGTCCTCCGTTGGATCTCAACTAACACAACGTCGGGCCCTCCACGAGATAAACTAGTACCGAGGCATTCCTCTGATTGCAAACGACAGGAATCCAGCTACTTCTAGCACACCATGTCAAAGTCCTAGATGTTCATGACTGGACATGCGCTCTGGAACCTTCTGAACGTTTCATATGTCGGATGGGGACGCTACTTGTAGCTGCAGGATGCCCGTGCAAAGTGCAAAGCACAAGCATTGACCCTGCGTCGCAAGGAGAGTGGTCTTGAGGAGAGGGAACTGCCTGCGTTTGGCACGGGAACGTTAAATGTTTGTTTTTGTCAAATGTTCATTTCTGGTTTCCATAGGATATTGGTTTTCGCGGCGAGATTCATATCCAAGCATTGCGGGCATACGTTCCTTTGAACTTTTCGTAGTTTGTGCACTTTCTGCAAACGCAGTTTCTTTTGCTGTGAGTCAAGCAGTCGACCGGTCTGTGGCAGGCTGATATGAGCAACTACGCAATACGCTCGGCGCTTGGATGGGCGGCAGCAGTTCCTTTTGCAGCCAGTCTTCATTTTACACGCTGCCGACTCATCCAGCCGGTACAGCTCGCACATGCAAAGTGACTCCAGCTCAGGTCTTGGGACCTTAGAAATGTTGTCCGCACCTCAAACGCTTGTAACAGAAGCTAGCAGCTTGTGCTTAAATGTGGGCTGTGGCAAGGGATTCTGTTGCACATGCTACATTTTTCCGTTTGGCTGCGATGTGGTGGATGTGATGGTAGCGTACCTTCGAGGACAAGGTGAGGCGGAGGGGAGGAGACCAAATAATTTCCAGGTGTCTCTGTATCGGCGTCGAAACATATTCAGAACGACGGTCCTGCAGAGACCCAGATGGACATTTGGAACCGATTTCTTCAACAGAGGAATATATTTGCAAAGTTTTTTCAGCAAAGATGCGTCGAAAAAAATGCAAACTCGTAAGGCTTTGTCGAGAGGTTGTTTCGGCTTGCTCTTCTCACCTGATACCCTCGAATCAAGCGATCAAACGCCGCAAGGCTGCAACCTCGTTGCTTGAGATGATACCTGAACTCTGCCAGACTTTGATCAGCATCAGCCTGAAAGCGGTTGCGCCGCTGGCACATCTGGCACCTCAAGTATCCTCCGATCTGCAACGATTTGAAGGCAGCTGGAGGATGGTTGCTACATGCCGGAATGTATAAATGAAGGCTTTGCAGTTAATTGTACAACTTCCACGCCGCACTCCTGTCATCACGAATCCTCAGGCTAACATCCAGGAATTGCACTTTTCCATGGCCGGACAAGCCAAAGCTCCAGGATGTGTGCCAACGATGCAAATTTCCGCCAAACATGTTATGCCCTTCATCCCTTGCATGCGTGGGTCACGTTGAAACGTGCCCCGTGTGATGCATCATAATGCCCAGCCATTTATGTGGACAAGCCCTGAACGAGTTCTGTGAACGAAAGCTCGAATTCAACGGCCATCTAGATGTAAAAGCTGCGTCACGTGATCGGCTTGAGTCCTTCTCCAACGTAGTGCACCTCGTCATAAGATCCTCATCCTCGCCGCCTCCTGCTCCACTTCGGCTGCCCATCATGAACTTGCTACTAATCTTCGGTCGCATCACATCTTTGCTTAAAGTAGTTTAGGGCTAGGGCTTGGGGTGACAAATGGATCAGCAAGTCGCTCTCGAAACCCTCTCGTTCCCTGGCTCTGCCATTGCATTTGGTACCGCTGTACCTCCCTTCTAGTCTCGGTGGCACGTGGCAAGGCATGGTCACCGTGCCTGCTAAAGAGCACCGGTAAGCAGGTTTACGGTCCAACGCCGCAGACCAGGGCTCATTTGCTGGCCACCCGGTGGCACGGTGCCTGAAAACCCCAATCAAGCACTTCAAGCTCACATGAGCACTGCCAGCAGCGAACATCGTCAGCATCATCGTTGGCCCTGCCTGCCTCCATTTTTTTGGTTGCCAGTACCCTTCCATTTAAACAAGTGTTGCCTTGGATGGCCTTTATGAATCGAATTCGGGTACGCCCAATTGTGTTCATGATGCTGACATTCAGGGATGCTAACAGTCGCCAAGATTGCTGGACAAAGCATCCAAAATCTGTACTCAGCTGTACTCCAAACTCAAGGGCAGACGAGAGGAGCCAGGGCACATGAGTGGGTCCGTCCGAAACTGTTGTCATGCTCTTGCACTCACTTTCTGGCATCGCGACTCTCTCCAAACCCTAGAACCTAAAGAACCTGAACTGAATCCCAAACCTTTTTAACCCATCCCTAGAGGAGGAGGAGATCTCTTGCTGTGAGGGTACTTTCTCTCTTTTGGGGGGACCTTCCACGGACCGACTCCCATCTTTGGAAAAAAATATTCAAAGCCAACATGGCGCCTTCAATGTCAGAGTCTGACAGGAGGATGGGGAGGGCACATGTTGTGGACCTAAGCCAGTGTTGACTGATGTTGACTGTTGACATGATCTCACAGAACTGAACGGTTTCGGTGCTTCAGCTCTCCTTACAGAGACGGGAGTAGTTCCATTCAACAAGCATGGTGTTTCGATACTGTCCTGTGCAAAGTGGGGGGTTAGTAGGAAAAACGGCAGCAGCTTTGCAAAGGGCAGAATTGGCGCGTGTCAGCGCGCTCGGCAGATATTGGGAAGTGAAGTGACGCTGCAGTCCTCTCTAGCTACTCTAGTTGCCACAGAGACATCCACATTCGCCTGAGGCGTTATGTCGTGAACTGGCTGCTTAGCGGCTACATCTTTCTTGCATCCCCTTCGTCACTCCGTGGAACAGTGCCGCTCTCAAGAATGCAGTGCGCGGCATGAACTGTCGCGCCACAAATTGAAGCTTTGCACCTTTCTAAGAAGCAGCAGCCCATTCCGACGAAATTCGCATTGCTCTTGCTGCCTATTGTTGGCACCTTACCGCGTTTGACTCTGCACTTGGTGGCGGCATGTTGAGCATTGCTGCATTTGTTCCTGCCAAACGGTCGAAGGTTACCATTTTTCCTTATGAGGTAGGGAGACGTAGACATCTGTACGCGTGACTGTGACGCTGACTTAGGGGCTGCTGATGCTGCTTTTGACCCTCATACCAGGAGTGTCTTGGCGATCACTGTTCCTTGGCGTGTGCCATGATGATTTTGATTGTCGGCACAAGGTCCTACTGCTGTTTGCCCCTGGGTGCAGTCCTCACTTGTTCCAAGAGTGTGAAGGTAGGGATGCATATCGGAGTTCTGAAAGACGAGTTTGAGGTATTCATGAAACAGGAATAGAATTGTGTAGGATGACCTCTTTACATACGCTGATGAGCTGCTATGCCTGCTGAGGCCTTACCGAGAGGATCGGTTTCCTGGCTGGAACCTCGACCTCTTCTTCAAAAGGAGGCCGCTGGGATTTCACTCGGTGCGGCTGGAGTGTTGTCAAAGCCTTTTGTTTGCAGGTCCTTTGTTCTGCTCTTCTTGAGCGAGTGTCGCTGCCTCTATTTGTTGCAGAATCTAGCGCAAAGCTTTATTATTTACATGAGCAACATGTGGCCGCGAAGCCGCGAAACTGGTGAGGTGCGGGAAATTTGGCCTTGTTTCCAGGAACCTGCTGCAGTCTCAGGCTCTCAGGTTGGCTTGGCTCATGCACCTTTCGCCTCCAAGCGGAGCTGAGCAGTGCCGATGTCACTGTTGTTTCCAACACTTGGAGTCAACTATCCCATGCTGCCAGACTCTTGTTCCATGTGATTACCCTTTGGCATCGTTCAAGCTCGCACATGCCATGTGTGCTTAGCTAGCCACCATGCAAGCAGATTTGGTGTTTGGGCCCGCACCTTTCGCAGCCGGTACTTCCACAACTGAGCCAGACAATTGATTGGGGCATCAGTTGGGCCTGTGTTCGTTCCGTTGCTTGAGTCTTGCTCCTCTATTCATCTTTGGCTGTCCGGCCTTCTGCCACGCCTCTGCTATCATGGCATCCAGGTTATATCAGCTGGTGGCTCTCCAACGGCTGGAGCAGCCTGGAGCTCTCGAGCCATGAGCTCAACCTAGCATCGCTGTTGCACATTTTGTGCTCATGCAGAGCTTGCGGAGTGTGCTGACACTGAGCCCGCAGGCCTCAGTGTCCTCTTCGCATTTTTATTAGCGCTGGGGACATTTATTTGGGCTGGAACCTTAGCAATCCGTGCGCTACACAGCATGAGCTACCATTATGCGACTGATCGTGAGGCAGCAGCTCTGAGCCGTGCTTCCGACATTCTGGCTGGTTTAAGATGTGGACTCTGTCGACCCGACCAAGTCCACCAAGATTTGCACACAAAGACGTGCCAGATTCACGGCTTCTCTTTTCTTGTCGGAGTGGTCGTCATGCTTGCTTGGACCTTACTGCATCAGTTCTCAGTCTTTCTCCGAGCCACTGTTGCGAGTTCTGAAAAAAGACTTGTGAACGCAGAGCACGGGGATCAGCTGGAGCAAGTGGAGGGTTCTGGTGCCGATGTTTGTGAAATGTCAGGCTCCAGCGATGATGCTGCGAAGCATCGTTCAAGACGAAGTGGCCACGATTACCAGCCTGGGACGCTCCGAGGCGGGAAAAGCTAAGAGCTCCGAGATGCTGAGTAGATTTGCACAACGGTGGCCATGTCGAGAGCGTTTTCTTATCCAGAGCAAGAAAGTTCAAAAGCAGAGACTACTCTCGTACTAACTGAGCCTGTGGGCCTCCAATTTTCAGCGATGCCTCACGTCGGACTTCACGGGCTTTTAAGGTCTGGTGTTGTTTTAGAGCTTAGGGGCTTTTAGAGTTCAGTGTGTTTTATATGGTTTAGGGTTTGTTTAAGGTTTATGGGTTTTCAGAGTTCAGGGCTTTTTAGGGGTAAGGGGTTATTTCAGGGTCTGGGATTCTTAGGGCTTAGGGGTTTTAGGAACAAGCTTGAATGGCTCTGGAAGGAGTGCCAGTGATGGACTCCGCACCCTGAGTTTCAGGGATTATCAGCTTAGCCGATTGATTTGATGTTGTAAAACGGTTCCGCGAATGCTGTCCGGATATTCAGCTATATGAGCGACTGCTTTTATTATCGTGTAGGAGCCAAGAGCAGGCAGAGATAAGATTCAGGGACATGAGCAAGACCCTAGCAAAGCGATAGGGCCCTCCCCAAAAGCGATACCCTTGAAATGGATGACAGCAGTGTGCAAAAACACTGTAAAGCGATAGGCCCCCCCAAAAGCAATTTTTTACTCAGCTGTTTACTAATAATTTAGGTAGCTGCTCATATGGATGTAACGGGCGATGGGATTTAAGCTTCGTGACATAGTCTGTGCCAAGGGGCGCGGGCAAACCAAAATTTTGACCGTAGGCCTAGCGGCACCAGCGGGCCCATATTGTAATTGACGTGCGCAAGGGGAGACAGGACACCTGCAGGGCTGCCTTGCCAGGTCCGCCCTTGCGACCCCACAAATTTGTTTCCCACGAGTAAAAAACACGAGGTGCGTTGCTCTCAAATACAACTGTTTAAGGCAATTAGGGTAGTATAACCTTGCGGGGGAGGATGGGAAAGGATCCAGCTGGGGGCAGGTAATTAACAATCCTCTTGATGCAGGGGGAACGGAGCTGTAGAATCGTGGGCATGGTCTGGGATTACCAGACTTTGGGGACTGCACTTTCAAGTCCCTTGGTTTTAGAAACAGGTCGGAGTTACAAGCCATAGGCAGCCTGCAACTTGTCCCATCGTTTCCAATGTCTGACGATTATCCGAAAATATTCAAAGAGTGCTAGAAGTGATCGATTGGTATAACAGAGGTGCTCCGTGCCTTGGCTGGTAAGCTAGAAGGCCTCAACGTATGATTATCAGCTTGGAGGAAGATTTCAGTTCTTCTTTCATTTCTGACTTTATGATGTTGTGCACAGTATGGAACAGTGCTGCTGGAAGAAAGGGAGGGCTGATTTGAACTGATTTGGGAAGGAAGCATGTGTGACATTTGGTATGTCCTGGGCAACAGACCTTCTCAAGCCCGAAAGCTGTCTCTCCAACAAGAGCCTCAGCGTGTGATACTTCAACAATGCAGATGCCTCTCAGTTTCTGTTACAAGTCGGAATGATACAACAACATGGCTGTTCTGCGATGACCAGACAGCTGTAGAATGCAGGAGATTCCGTGGGCACAGATTGCGCTGAATCAGATAATGCATAATTAAGGCAAACGATGCAATGCTTAGGAGCCTTCTCGGTGTGTGGGCCGCGGCAATGCCAAAACTCACGGCACAAACTCTTAGTAGAGACTGTTATGGCTGCTTTCAGCAGAACTTGCAGCACAAAAGCAGGCCGCATTGATCATCAGCGTGTTCAGCTTGTTCTTGGAGGGCGTCTGGAGCTTGAACGCATGGTTTCTGACTTGTTGAGAGAGCCTTCTGGACTGATCATTACTGGCCTCACACGTGTTCAGCATGCTTCAGCGGCTTCACGCAGTGTCAGGTCCGTTCTTCAGCGCTTTGGACGGCAAAGATCCGGATCCTGAATTCACGATGGCGCCTGTTGAGCCCAGGGCATGGTGTGATGCGTTCGAAGCTTTGCAGTTTGGAGAGTCGGCAGCTGGGCCCAAGGCTACGGGACGGTCCTTCAAAGCTGCAGCCACTTCAGCGCCTTTCTCTCGCCCTTTGTGCCTTGTCTTGCTTTGTGCTTGAAGCATCTTGTGTAATTAATGTGTTTTTCACAGGGTTTCATGATCTTCTTGAGTAGCATGATAGCTTTCAGAAATTCAGCTCATGTTTCAACCGAGAAGCTTGACATCAGCGCTTGAGGTGTGCGAGTTCCTTGCGAGGCAGCAGCGAGCTCAGCAGCCAAAGCCAAGCTCTGTGATGGTCTTCCCAAGAATGCAATCTCCTGTGCAGGCATGGAGTGACCTTCATCACCCGCAATCAGAAGGACACGCATCGTGGCAAGCGTGCGGTCCTGTTTCTATCCTGACGGGCGCCATATCATCTTGGCAGGAATCACTAGTCTTGGTCTTGGTAATCCGTGGTAACCACGAGATGCTACTTTCACCATCTTTCACCAGCATGAAAGACTTGTGATATCCAGTGGCCATCTACGCATTCTTGCAAGAAAGTTAGTTTCAAAGGCCCAGCCCGGGGGGCTGTCCCTGCTCGCGGGCTGGTCCTTTCGTATTTTGCCATCACTGGGAAAGCCTTGGCAATGGGGCTAGGATGGCTAGGCAGGTGGCGGGGTTAGATGAGGACGCTGGTGGAGCGGGGCCTTGTGACGTGGGCGGCGCCTGGGGCGGGAAAAGCTGCAGAGCATTGTCAAGCTCCGTTTAGCCCGGGCCACATTCTCCGTGCGAACGACAGGCTCCTGGACTTCCAAAGGGCAAAACGAAGAACGGATAATGGTTTGGTCCACCTTGGACGGGGGCAAGGGGAATGGCAGACGTCTACTGCAAGCATTGATGTTTCAGTTGACAGCTCAAGGAGCTGGCAGATGCCATGATCCTTTCGGTGCTGAGCTCATTGTTACATGTTGTGAACGAGACGAGCCCTGGTGCAAGCTAGCAACCCCTGGCTGAAGGGTGTCCCCTTGGGCCTGCTCCAGTTCTTCTTGCAGGAGGGATGTACTGTACTGATTTACTGACACCATGAGCGGCCAGAAGTCTGGCTCTGTGCCAGAGGTGGCGATTGCGCCGTTTATCAAGAAGGAGTCTTGGATCAGTTCCACCTGATGTGAATCAGTGAGAGTGCTGACTCAGCCAGGACATGGGCATCTCCGTTGGTGCTGAGCGAAGTTCAAGGACATTCGACTATTCGACGTCTACTGTGAAGCTAGCAAGACGACGATGTCTGAGCAGGGCCTTGAATAGGTGCTCAATCTTCTGTTGCAGACGTGGCGTTTTTTTTCCACATGACCTTGCCGAATCCTGTCATGGTCTACTTGTCCAGGAGCTTGCTGCGGAAGTTCAGGAAGGGGACCTCTGCTTTCGCGCTTACCACGTTTGCAGGTGCAGGCAGGAGAATGGCCTAATTTATGAAATTTCCACTGGTTCCTGCATGAGCGCTGCAGGCATTGCTCTGCTAGTGTTGATGAACCTCTTCTTGAAGATACAGATGCCAGTGGACAGAATTGCTAGATGCCGGGTTCTGAGCAGCTCAAGTCCATTGGTCAGTGTGCTTGGGGCGGTGTACCCAACACAAAATGTTCTCAGAAGCCTTTACTTAGGCGAGCTTCCTCACGCCACAAACTGTTCAGTCTGGCTGGCTGGCTTAGTACCATGAGGTGACCCCGCGTTCAGCATCAAAACTGTGAGCCAGGTTCTTGTGGATGAGGTTGACGCGCAGCAGGCTGAATTTGGCCAACACTACGGGCTCAACCGGTATGGACAAAACACCACAGGCGCAGTACGAGGGAAGGGCTTCTTGTCTGAGTTGGCACCTGCTTTGCCCGATGCAGCTAAGACAAGTCTTCAAAGCAGGGGAGAAACGTCCACAGGAGAACGTGCAAACTGCAAAACGTCCACAGGAAACGACGCGCGCGCGCCCCTCTCAGTGGGCTACACGTACTTTCACACTGGTCGCCGACGCCGCGCACAGCAGTTATAAAGAGTTGGGAGCTGACAGAGACCTAGTTGGTTCTTTGTTGTTGATGCCCGCTTGTAGCACGAACAGCACGACCAAGAACATCAAGAACGGCCAGTGGGTTTAATTGAAACTGGGTCGAAGAATCGCATGCGTGAACGAGGTGGAACTACTTGTAAGGCAGCAGCAAGAGTTCATCAGGAGAAGGATCTCTGTCCAAAGGCCACTCTATCGCTACGGCTCATGGAGGATTTGAAATGTGCCCAAAACGCACACAAGACAACCCAAGCGCTGCGGCAAAGTTACAACATATCCAAATAGTCTAGAATCCGTGGGTTCTAGGTGAGCGGCGAGCATGCGCATATCAAAGCGCTTGTTGGTGGCAACTCGGTGCTGCTGTCATGCCAAAGCTGGATGAACATGATGAACAAACGATCTACCACAGCCTGACTTGGCTCAGTTGGACATTTCTCGGCATGAAGCTTGCTGGTGAGGCGTGACGACTAATATGGCTTGTTGTTGGCTGCCCTCCAACTGCATAGTGTTGAGAAGGGCTGAAACTTGGAGGGCCCCTTTCATTGTGAAGCAGAAGCGGGCAGCATGGATTCAACCTCCGACCCACAACTGCACATACAGCAGAGCTCCATGAAACCGGAACTCATGTTTCCCACGCAGGTCTCTACAACTGCCTGAGCCGCATGAGAGCTGTTGGAGGCAGGGTTTGTTGAAAAGCGATGGAAAGTGTTTGACGGAAGCTTTCGTGAGAATGCCAGGAGACACTTTCCGTTTTTGGCAGTTTGGGAGGTGCGAAGCCGTGCTCCCAGCATCCGCACATGGGAAGAAGGGTCAAGACTTGGCATTCCGTTCTTGAACTCGTAGCAGCAATGCAACTGACACTGGCAATTGCCGGCAGATGCACCTTAGTCTCACCATGTTTTGTGCCATTCAAACTAGGCACGAAAGGGATGGAACAAGTTACGATTCCCCTTCAGAGCTCTTCAGCATGTTCATCTGAGGGCTCAAAGGGTCAGGCTATCATGAGGCCAAAGATGTGAGGCTTGTCAAAGGTGCTTTGCGCGCTGGAAATGAAGGAGTAGTAGGGAAGTCAGGATGCTGTGCTGGTATCCATTGGTAAGCTGAATTAACAAAGAAGCAAATGTGGCAGTGGACCTTGGTTGGCTCTCAGGTGCGGAGTTGCCGGACAGCGTCAGCCTTGGAAAGTGGGCGATCGGCTGCGGGAGGCAATCGGCTTGGTTTCGGCATCCATCTGAAGCATTATTTGATACTCAAGCCAGGGGAGGGACCTTTAGATGCGTACGATTTGTGGTCACGCTTTTGTGACATGCGCGGCTCTCAAGGTTGTGCTGTCATGAAGTGCTGTGTGGGCTGCTTGACTCTGAGTGCATCAATACAATCTTAGATGCTTGGGCACTTGAGGTTCAGATGTGTTAACGGCTCTACTTACCCAGAAAATTGTTTTGTTCGTGATGCAGACACTCTCGTCGTCATGAAAGATTTCCATGAAATGCATCCATTCTGGCTACAAGTGGTCGGATTATCTCACGTCGGCTGTTTTTTTACACGCCGAGCAGCCTCCACACTGGGGGGCCCAGTTCAAAAGCATTCACCAGAATAGATGTCATTCAAAAGGCAAAAATCTTGAAATTGTATTGTTTCCACAGCGTCCACATGGTTTCAGCTTATGATGCGCAATGTTTAATATGGCATCGCTGTATGTGTCGAGCAGCGTCCCCACTGGGGGACCCAGTTGAGGAGCATTCAGCAGAACAGATGTCATGCTGTTTCCACAGCGTCCACAGGGTTTCAGCTCATGATGCGGCATAGTTGTATGGCATCTCTGTACGTGTTGAGCAGCGCCCACACTGGGGGACCCAGTTCAAGCATTCGCCAGAATCGAAAGGCGAACATCTTGAAATTGTATTGTTTCCACAGCGTCCACACGCTTTCCGCTCATGATGCGGCATGTTTGTACTTGTATGGCATCTTCGTATGTGTTGAGCCACGTCCACGCTGGGAGACCCAGTTCAAAGGCATTCACTAGAATAGATGTCATGCAAAACAATTCCTGCAATCGTGCTGTTTTTACAGCATTCACAGGGTTTCAGCTCATGATGATGCGGCATGTTTGTATGGCATCTCTGTATTTGTATGATAGCACACTCGTGTGCGTTGGAACATGGAGCAATCGGGCGCGCACCGCAGC